TTTGATGCCTTTAATCTTCTAGCCGCTGCTGTCACCACCACCGACCCAGCCACCTGCACCGCCCCGGAGACGTGCTACAACGACGGAACGACTGACGCTTGCTACACGGTTGGTCGTACCTTGATTTTGTCTGCAATATCGTGAACTACTGGCGCCAAATCGCCTGCGCTCACCACGCAAGTAAGCTCACGCTCATTTCAGGCGCCCACCACCACCATGGCCACCACCGCCGGATCGACTGTGGCCACCGGAAGCACCGCCGCGACTGGCTCGACCACCGCTTCTGGCAACTATTCCGGAACCTGCGTTGACTCCAACACCAAGTAATTTAAGTCTCCGTTTGAAAAAAATAGCCATAGTCCCTTCTGCGCAGCTCCTTCTCTGTATTTCTCTCTCTCGCTCTCTCGCTCTCACGCTCTCTCTCTCACGCTCGCTCTCTCTACCTCGCGGCTTGCCAAAGCAATTACAAAGTGTATGGTTTACTACAACCCTGTAATACCCTCCATTTCCAGCTGCGCCACCTGGGTGAAGAATGGGTTCTGCACGAGCACCGCCTACACCACCGAGCAAAAAGGATCGTACTGCGCCAAGTCGTGCAACCTGCAGCCGGCCTGCGCTGGAGGCGGCGGTGGTGTCGTCACCGGATGTGTCGACAGCAGCGCAAAGTAGGGCTATTTCAAAGAGTATTAAGTAATTTCTCATTTTCTAGCTGCCCCATCTGGGCGAGGAACGGCTTCTGCACGAGCTCCTTCTACGCCAGCCAGTTGTCGACGTGCCAGAAGACGTGCAATCTTTGCTGAGCATTTCCGGATACCCACCTCGCCCATTAGGCCTCAATTCCGGAAATAAATGTACAATCATTCAATGTTTTCTGCCGAGAACTCATAGGCGGAAAATGCACATTACTTTGACAGTAACACAAAGGGTTGCAGACCATAAGATGGGAACGAAAGCTACTCTGCTATAATCTGGTGCGTTTCCCGTACAGAAGTTTTGTGCCCGGAGCCCAGTTGCAACTTCAAAAAAAATTGTAAAAACCAGATACGCGACGTTACAGATATGCTAGTTAGCACATCGGAATCAGCGTTTCAAGCCGCTTCGAATGAGCCCAGGGCGAAATCCTGACCAGGTTTGGCTGTCGCTTAGAGATTCAATGTTTGAAATCACTGCTGCTCAAACCACCAAAACTACAAGCCTAAGCCTAAGCCATGTTCAGGGTGGACGAAAATAGATCGGAGTTGAAGCAAAATATTTCGCTGATGGAAACAAATCGGAATATCCGTGCCTTGTCAAGATGCTTAAATATACTGGGCATGAAAAAATAAACACAAGTTGTTTTTTACGTTTTTTTACAAATCCTACTCGTTAAGAAACGTTGAACATTTTTTTTAACTAGAAAATTTTGACGCTGTAAAAAACGGCCTTTAGATCTTCAGCGCTTTTCCTTTGAGTCGGTGGTCAGACCGTTTATTCGGGCTTGCACTCACACACATATATATATATATATATATATATATATATATATATATAAGTCGTGAAGCGGCTTTTCAACCCTGGTCCCGTCTGAGCCTATGAAATCCTTGAATTTGCATGATTCGCCTGAATTGTGCTGAAAAATAAAGCAAATCGTTCCCTCTCCTCATTTATATAAGCTATTGCCACTTCCTGGTAATTTTAATTTTTTTAACTAAAAGAGAGACCCTGATAAAAACCGTTTTAAACGCGTAAAAAGCAATATATAGAATTTTTTGTTTTGTGTGCGCGTTATCTTGAGACTCTGCGCACCTAGCGACATATCAAAATGCCATTAACTACTTCCCCTGTCGAGATATCCTCCGGACAACCTGACGGAAGTTGCATGCAAATGCACACACACAGACACTATTTTTTATATATAGTAGGATATATACAGTGCGTGCCAAAATGATAGGGGAATGGCGTTTTTAGCCGTTTTCTCGGCCGTTCTCCATTTCCGTGTAAAAACAAAATCATAGTTCTTATATCCCGAAAAAACACGTCTTTTGGTCTACTTGAAATCTCTTTATGCCAAAAGATCACGTTCTTAGAAGCGAATGTATAAAAATAGACAACCACAAGTGACAAAATGATAGGGGAATCATTAACATATCATTTCTATCAACTTTCTGTATGAATAGTGGATAGAATTGGCCTGGCCTATGAAATTCGGACCGGAAGTCGTCGGGCCAATTTTGCATCTAATTAGTATCCACTATTCATACGGAAAATTGGTGGAAATGATATGTATTATGTTTGTCCTACCCTATCGCACTTGTGTTTTCCCATTTTTATTCAATCGGCTTGCAAAATTGTTATCCTGCATCGTAGAAAGATTTCAAGTAGACCAAAAGATACACATTTTCCTGGACTACACTCGTTCCCTGTCATTCGGCTTTACAGCTACATAAAGGACCGCCAAGAAAACGACCAAAAACTTCATTCCCCTATCATTATGGCACACACTGTATTATTTTCGCAGTCATGCACAATTATCTGATAAAACTACCACGGAGGAGGGGGAAAAGAGGCAGAGTGCGGAGAGGGCCAGGAGGAGGGGCCATTAGGGGCCGAGATGAAGGAAATTAGGGGAAAAGGTGATTATCCGGGGAGAAGGAGATGATGGGGCGAATCATCTCTACGAAAATATTAGCATAAACTTCTATTTTCGACAGACGCGATAAAATATAAGACTTTTAATGACTAGGAAGACATGAAGATTAGCAAAATAAAGCCTATCGATAGAGTGGTAAAGAATATCAACAGGTTTAACTAGCCGTCAACCGGAGCATTCCGAACATTCGTACGCGCCGATTCACCGTTTGAGCAGTCGATCAAGTGGTCCGCTTTAAAGGGATAGGGGCGGCATAGGAGTCAATCGATTACGCGCGGAAAGAAATGTCTCTGCGCCTCTCCCCTGGGCGCCCTCTCTCGCCGCGGAACCTGTTGAACCCCCCCTCCCCAAGGGGGGTTCAACAGATGCCGTCCTCATCTCTTTAAAGGTGTAGGGCTGGGCGTGAAAGGATCAACATCGCCAACTCGGTCTTCTCATGCCGATAAAGCCGCTTTTTCTCCCGATGGTGAATTTCAATAACAAATTCCTGACCCCGATGCCGAACACTGACATTTAAGCCTCCGGCGTACTTTAAATTCCTCACCCGCTTCGACCTTCAAATTCGCTTCTTTTAGCAAGGTGCCACCCCGTGGGTGTCGATCCCTATTTGCTCAGCAGATCAACGGTTCGGAATGTCGGCATAAAAGGTGTGGATCTGAGGGTCGAGGTATCAACTTCGCCAGCTTGGGAGGTTTGTCAAGATGAAGCTATTCCTCGTGCTCTTCCGGGCTAATCGCCTTCGCCCATCAGGTCAATTTAGGCAAAAATTGAATTGAAGTTTAGAGCGTTACTTTCGGATTTTAATCTAATCCTGTTTCACAATTTAGGCCTTCGTAGCTACAATTTATACCTTGATTTTCAGGTTTCGGCCACGGCTTGCCCGCTGCTCGAGGATCCGAACCGGAACAGGACGTCATGTAGGTCCAGTTTACATAGAGGTTTACAGCGGGTTATCGTCAAAATGTCGAAAATGATGAGGTCAATTCACAGTGTCGGCAAATCAATTATGGCTTTTGTCAGGGATGCCATGAATGCTATGAGTACTTCTTATTGAATTCCCACTGCCTCCCTACGTGGCTTTATTAAAATTTAGCCTCGCCGGACACGAACACTGACCCGCCGACCTGCCCAAACGGGCAATTCTGCTACTAGGACGCTACCTCCTTGAGCTTCTGTTATGAGGTTGGTGACGTTCAAGACAACGGACAGAATCCACGGGGTGTCCCAAGCTGTTCTACCTATCGGGCCACAGTCGTGTCGAATTCTTACGATTTAGTTATCTATCGAAGCTCTCGATGAGTTGAAGAGATATATTTTCCGATTTTCGAACTTCTGGAGTTTTTTGTTTGGCCTTCACCATGTTTCATTCCAACGTTTTCAAAACGCTCAATTTACCCAGTGAAGCGCCCGTTTAGCTTTCTTTCCATAAATAGCTTTCAAAAATTGTCGCTGCGTTATCGCAAGACGTGAAAATTCATAAATTCGCATGTTATCCATTTCGCAAAATTGTCCATTTCGCAAAAATATTAGCGATTGTAAAAAAATTACGGTGTTTTGAAAACCGGAGCTCAATCGCTAAATTAACAGGCTGCCCGCTGCCCGAGGTTCACCTCGACTCGTCGATGTTGAAAACAGCTAGTAAGTTTTTTAATCACTCTTATTTATCTTAATTTTTTATCATAGGTTCACCCGTCACCACCACCGATCCCGCATATTGCGCTAGCAGCGAGGAGTTGTGCTTCAACGACGGGATCAAGGATAATTGCTATACGGTATCGTGTTAAGGTTTTTACGTAAGAACACATGTGCGTGGAATATATCTATATATTTTATAAACTCGATTATACTGCTGTTAGCAGGGAGGGGGATTGCTACCAATTTCTTCCAGTCATTGGGCAACAAAGTAAGGACGATTTTTATAGAATTTGAAACAATCTTTAAGTATAAAAAAGCTCGTCAAATTTTTCGAGAAGTTCGAACATTTTCGGCTTTGTGGCTTTCTGAAGAAGGACTAGAAAGGTAGCAATCATCGATTTTCAAAAATGTTCAAAATAATTTTTTTGCAGCCTGCTAGCCATCCCAAACTACTAAAAACATTATAGAAATGCATGATTTATTATTAACAGGCAGGTATAGAAGGAAAAAGGAAAATTAGTCTCCCCGCGAACAGCACAGTACCAAATTTATTTTAGTACCGCACCTCCACCACTACCACCACCACCACCACCGATCGGCCGTATACCCAAGTATGTTTTGGCTTACGTCATTTTACTTTTTTCTCTTCTTTACCGATAGTTTGAAGCTCCTTTCGTATTTTAGGCCCCGTCCAGAGACTGCGTTCGTGTCTTCTGGCCGATGACCCCCGCTTCCGTCATCGCCGGTGAGAATTTTGGATCCTGCAGATTTTTGTGAATTTTGGATTCATCTTTCCAGTATGGCTTTTATATATTTTTTTAGAAGCCGATCCCTCAACGGGCGCTTGCCCGCAGAATACCCACTGTGAGGAGGGAAGGACCACTAACGGACAGCACGGCCGCTTCTGCATCGGCAACGGATACGTCGACCCTAACCGTCTTACCGTGCCGTGGTATTTCGTTTAATGAGTTTGAGCGATTGGGATGCAAGTGTTAATAAATCTTTCTCAGCACTTTAATAAGAAAAACAACATAGTTCTCTCTCACGAAAGTATCACTGATCCTGGCACGACATGGACAGTCGAGTCAATAACGCTTCATCTACACGTCAGGCACTAATCCATGGATTTTGATTCGAAGTTTTCGTTGTTTATCTCGGAAAATAGGATTTTATAAACGATATACACTTTCCTACGCAGTTTCAGAAAGCTCCTTCCCCTCCGCTGCCATCTATACAAACATCGCGGCCGCCGTTCGAAAAATTTGCCACGGCATGCCGGTGCTGATTGGAGAGAGCTTACGGTAACCTCTAATGCATTGCTGAAAAACTATTCATAGCCACATGCCCCATACACATTTGCAGGCGTCCCATAAATGAGTTCAACATTTGTATGCTCCAATACCCATACGACACTGACCCTTCCGGAAATGACAGCGCCAACGTGTTCCGACATACAAGGCGAATTCGGGTAACACAATGCAGTATCTTTGAGAACTATTTAACCTGTCAAAAAAGATTATTGCTGTTTTCTTTTCGGACGTCCGGCACGTCCGGCCATATTGCCACGGCGAACTGCTAAAATACACTTCAGAATGAAAGTTGTCGTTTCTTCGCGATGATTGTGTTTGTCTTTACCATCTTCCTGCAGCCCGGCCTCGCACATTTATCCCATCGACATCGCCTACAGTAGGACCGCTGACTGTAAGAGCAATTGTTGCTTTCGCGGCGACCAAGTCAAACCGACCTGCTGATAACTGCACATTGCCCATTCTTTTTGCAAACCAGATGGGCGGACGCGTCGGTTTGCACGGCACGCTAAATTGACTTTACGTCTGGCACTCCTTGAAATACCTTGAAAAAGCTCTTGCATCCCGCACGTCCTGCGGCCGTAATGTGACCCACTGGCCTGAAGTCCGCACACTACACAGATAGCGTTCTGTAATAGTTAGCTATAGGGCCGCCACTCTTACGAAATGTATGTAAAACTGTTTTGAAACCAAAAAACGCCCAACCTCGCGTTGAGCTATTTCTGATAAGTTATTGGTAGTGGAGCAAGCCTCGGAACACGATGGACTTGACCGCGAATGATAAAAATATGGATCCGTGAGAACCAGTCAGATAATGAATCTGCCAGAGCCGGTACGCGGATTCTAGAAACGAATTTTAGAAATATTGGAAAACCCACGGGTAGAACACGTCGAAACTGGAGGTCTGTTGCATTTGAAAAGACGACCACGACCTTTGAGAGCTGTCCGGAAAATTTGTAATTGTCGGCAGTGTCGGCAGAGCGTGCATCTTGAAGTAAAAGTATTTGAAAACAGTGATATGTGCAAAGACCGGGCACAAATATGAGAATGATAGACACTAACAATCGCACGGCTTTTAGATAAACCTAATACCGGCTGCAACACTTTCCAATATCGCCCAAATTTCTTGGCCACCGTATGACACCGTGAACGTTGCAAGGTGGAATCGCAGGGAAAAGAGGCAGCCAGGCGGCAGAACGGCGCGCGGAATTCGGGAAGAGTTGTACAGCTGATGCTCGCGGGGGCGCTGGCGCGAAATTTTGGAGCAACAAAAAATTGGGCTTCTTGCCTGCTGCTGATCTCTAGCAAAATAGTCGGTGCGCTTCGGTCGCTTTGTAAAATGAGGTTGGGGCAGCCAAGATGAGGTTGCGAAGCGGCTTTAGATCACGAGGCGCGGAAAAAAGGTCTTTCTATGATAAGGTTTTTGAGTGTTTCCGTATGGGTTTTAAAAGAAGCAGAAACATTTTTGCTGACAGATACGTTCAGGAATCAAAAAAGGATTTCACTCCGTAATAGCGCAAATTCGCAAGGACAAGCTAATTCCTAGGGTCAGACTCATACGATTCAAGGAAATAGACCTCTAAAATTAAGCTCTCGATCCTGAAAGTACGGATCGTAGCAAATCGTCGAGAACAAAGGCTATTCATAAGTCTCAAAAACCCGTACCACCATTGACAATGGCCCATGGCGCAAATAGAGCCGCGAAAATCCGGGCGAGCTGCGGAATTTTGACATTCAAACAACGGGGCGTAGCGATGCGAATTCCGATGGTACGCTGGAAACCGGGAGTTCGAAAAATTGACACAGCAGCGCCAGGTTGGAACGGTGCCGATCCAGGGAGATTTTCGCGTTTTTTCGCCGTCCGCGCGTCGTCTCAGCTGTTCCGGGAGGCGCATGATTTTGTGTATAAAAGGGCACTGTAGCCAGGGGACAGTATTCAATTCGGCACCACAGCCCGGCAGAACCAAGATGCACCGAGCTGTCCTCCTCATCGCCGCTTGCGGCCTCGCCATCCACCAGGTCAGTAAGGATCCAAGCTGTGAATTTAAAGGCCTCTGGGACGCTGGGGTACTCAGCCGCAGGGGTTGCGGCTGGCTGCAGAGCGCGGAGACCGTGGCGGCGTACATCGGAGCGCCGCGCGGGGAAAGGGGTGTTCGGGCACGTCAACCCTCTCCGCCGCCCCCTCGCAGTTGGTGATGAGTGGTATAGTGGGTAGCGCGCTGGGCTGTCATTCTCACGGTGCGGGTTTGACCCAGCCCGATGCAAACGTCTTTTTGCTCATCCGCGAAAACCATCGTTCTAGAGGCCTTTGATGATATAATTAAAAATATAGGTTATGTCAATTTCTAATGTCTCGCTATCGTGCGCATATTTTATTTTTCCAGGTCGACGCGACCGCTTGTCCTGACATCTTATCGCAGCCAAATAGCACCCGCACCGCCACCGCCAGTGAGAACTTTTTGTCGGACTGTTGTTTTCATCCGTACCCCATCAAGAAGGCTGATGCAACGAATTTTAGATAGCCCGGACGTCACCCAGGATCCGCCAAAGTGCACCACCGTCGGGGAATTCTGTTACAGCGCCAGCGGCGTTGGCAAGTGCTACCCTGTGGGTTAATCCTCCTACCTTATATAATGGCGCTCGATTTGAGGTCCTTCCCGTGTCTAAAATGCCCTGATTTTCCATCACTTGGGGTAATCGACCCTCCTCTTTCGGATGGCGTTTTTAAAATTCCGATAAAATACAAGTTTACAAAGTTAGAGCCGGTTTTATTCATTTTTGGGGGTTCGTGAGGGCTAATTTGCATACTGTGAAAAATGCAAATTTCCTCATTCTGGCAATTTGCACGCGAGTGTTTGGTCGGTGGGGGAAGGGGGTCCACAGGACCCGAGACGGAAAGTCAAATTTTTCATGCAAGGGGCCAATTCCAGCGCCCAAGGCCCGCGAAGCGGGTTTTGGGCGCTGGTTTTACAATAAAAAAAAATTGCCAAAGAAATATTCGGTCAAGCTATGTTTGCTTGAGGGTGGAGTTGGTGATAAACTGAGGGTCTCTCGGTTTTAGTTAAATTTGCCATAAACCACGAAGGTGCTTTAAACGACTGCGCTTACAAAAATAATTTCTAGGCGGCAGCATGTGCTAAGCTGGACGCTGCAGCCGGGCTGGTAAAGTCAAGTAAGTGCTGCCTGCGAGTAACTTTAAGCTCAGGCAAAAAGAAAGCAAAAGTTTTATACCTGATAAAAGGAAGGGTCCTACGGCTGCCTCAAATAGGGCCTAATTACGATAAGAAAAAATAACGGGGGGCACTCAAACTTTTTATATGATAAAAGTATTTTTAAATAAGCTTTTTTCGGGCTGTAAAAAAAACTCTTAGTATATTTTTCGGTCCTCTATCGAATGGCATTTTCAAAATTTCGAAAATATTCAAAACGCCGGAAGAATTTTTCCCCCTGTTATCCTATGTGCTGCCCATAGTTTTCAAAAATAGTTTTTAGGCTATAAAACTTTTATAATACATTTTTTCGCGTTGTGAAAAAATCTCTTAGTATATTTTTTGATGTTCTATCGATTCGCGTTTTCAAAATATCGAAAATCTCCAAAAGAAAATTTGGCTTTCCCCCGTTATACTATGTGCTGCCCATGGATTTGATCAATTTTTGTTTGATCGATAAAAAATTTTCATCTACATTATTTCGGGCTGAAATTAATTTTCCTAGGGCAGTTTTCGACGCTTTATCGAATGACGTTTTCAAAATACCGAAAATGTCGAAAATTTCCAAAAATTTGACTTCCCCCCGTTATCCTATGTGCTGCCCATAGATTTTCCTCAATTTTTGTTTATTCAATAAAAATTTCTATTACACTATTTCGGGCTGAAATTAATTCTCTTAGTATATTTTTCTACGCTCTATCGAATGGCACTCGCGAAATCCCTCAGTAATTGCAAATTTCATAATAATGAGTGCCCCCGTTATTTTATTCCCCCGTTATCCTATGTGTACCGTAAGTGCTGCCTGCGAGTAACTTAAGCTCAGGCAAAAGAAAGCAAAAGTTTTATACCTGATAAAAAGGGGAAGGGTCCTCGGCTGCCTCAAATAGGGCCTAATTACGATCTTATTAAGCTTGCAGCCCACAGGAATCCACTTTCTTTTATTGTGAGCCAAAATTTCTAAAATAATCCATTTCATCAACTAAAGCGAAGATCAAAAATTTATGTAGTATCTTCAGTAATTTTCAGCAATTTATGTAGGTTATTCAGTATTTTTTTATAGCCAACGCCCCAGACAAGACCACCGACCCGGCCAACTGTACCACCGATGGAGAGAAGTGCTATGACGACGGAACGGGCGATGCCTGCTACGCGGTATGAAAAATATGGGTTTTCAAGGGCTTTTCCTGATGTACCCAGAGCCTAAAATACTCGAGCATGGAGAGAACGGGACCGCAAAATTCCGGCGGAACCCATTGTTATAGCCGCCCACGACGACAATGTTGACCACCGCTGCCTCATCCGAGGCGACGGGCAGCACGGCCGCCACCGGATCGACCACCGCGTCCAGCGAGTACACCGGAAGCTGTGTCGATTCCAACACTAAGTAAGCAAAACCGTTCTATCCTAACCGCGTTCCAGCTGCGCGACATGGACGAAGAACGTTCTGTAAACAGCAACGTCTACACGACGCTGCAAAAGGGACAGTACTGCGCCAAGTCATGCAACCTGCAGCCGGCTTGCGCTGGAGGCGGTGGCGGTGGAGGTGTTGTCACCGGATGCAGCGACGACAGCGCCAAGTAAGTTTCGCTCCATCAAGGGTAACACCGTTACATCAATACTTTTTCCTGGATCTCATTACTGATATAAATCACATAAGTAATACTCTGGGTTTTTCAGCTGCCCAACCTGGACGAAGAACGGCTTCTGTACGAGCTCCTTCTACGCCAGCCAGGTGCAGACGTGTAAGAAGTCGTGCAATCTCTGCTGAGCGCTCTGCGCCACATCTCCGGATCTCATTGCCGAATAGGCCACAATTCCGGAATAAACTTTCGGCTTTTCAATTTCTTACTTGTACACTTTACAGAAAAGATGCTCTAAAACAAAAAATAAGCTGGAACTCGGAAGTTGAAAAAGTAATAACCAAGAATCCCTACTAAAGCAAACAAAAGGTTAACGACTTGTCATAAAACAAGGCTTCGACACTTTTACATAGCAGATTGTAAAAATTATATCAAAATTACAAACCTTACTTAGGATTTAATTTATGATTAATTTAAAGCTTACAAACCTGCGCATAAAAAAGTTACTTTCCGAAAAAAGAGGTAAGTTTTCTTTCAAAATTGATCAATATGAAAATCATCTAAAGCTATTTGCAACAGGACATCTGCAAGCGTTCCGAATGACGACAAAATCGAAGTCGAATGTGTCAATGTTCAGCCCTCATTTCTGTTCACAAACCATGTCGGGCCACGCGGGGCCCCTTGGCCCCGTCCAGTCGTGTCGGCTGGCTAAATACAGCGTGTTCCAAAAATATCGGCCTTCCGCACGTTGCCAACTGGTTGTCGCCGCGAAAAAGTTGCCTGCAGTTTCAATATAAGCCACGCCGACCGGGGAAAGCGATATTTGATGCGTTGGATTTCGAACGGGCCTCCTACGCCATGAGGTTGGTTTTGGAGTATCAAAAATCATGAACGATTTCAAATGATTTGATTTTTCTGACTTTTATGCAGTAAAAATGCGCCGTATTTGGCAGTATTAGGCTTATTATGAAAACATTTCAGCCGCGTAACATCTGCCAGCCTGAGTTAGCTTATTTCTCTTTTCACAATCAGTTCCGTATGTTTTTTCCTGTAACGTGACCGATGCTTCCGATTCTTGTGACACTCACTACGTATTTTAGAACCTTACACTGTAACAACCTTTTGCTACTAGTTGATCGCTTAAAAACTAGTAGCGAAAACGATTTGACGTGATGAGCGTAATGAACTTTAACCAATTTGTCTGTGAGTCAGTAAGTTACTCGAAAATACGCAATTCGACGATTCCTAAGCCAAAGATTGAAGATTTCGCAATCCGCAACATTCACTACATTTTCAGTCACCTCCGCACCTTTATCGCAATCGCTGTAGCGTATGTGTTGGCGATCCACGTCGAATTCGTTCTCGCGCAAACATGCCCGACCTCCGGATTTCCCGGGCTTGTCTGTAGGTTTTTCAGCGTCTGGTTTCGCCATACTCATGACGACAACTATTCCCAACCAGCCTTTTCTATCGTTCCATACCTTTCAGTGTGCGACACCGCGTCCAAAAAATGTCTCCAGGATCCATCACTGGGCTGTGAGACTGTGGAGGATGGATCACTTTATTGCTGTAGGTTTTTCCAATAAAAACTAGGCTGCAAAAAACGCACGAAAAACGTTTTAGGTCCGATGCCGGAAACCACCGCCAAGCCTACGACGGCCAAACCTACCACCAAGGCGGCAACAACCTTGGTAGGTTTGCGGAACTGTTAATTGTACCGGACAACATGACTAAAGGTTACGTTCTTGAATGCGCTCTTTCTAGGGCCTCTGCCAAGATCAGGCCACCTACTGCACCAGCCAATCCGCGCTTTGCACCAGCAACCTTGCCGAGTACAGGTACATTTTTTCCATATGTTGCGCATCAGCCAAGGGATTGAGGCCGAGGAACCGCAAACCGCGTGTTTTCTAGTAATGCATGAAAACGTTTAGGTCCCTGATGGCCACGCAGTGCCCGGTGACGTGCAAGCAATGTGGAAACCGTCCGATAGGTGGGTAAGATCTGGGAAAACCCTGGGAACTGGGTCGATGCTTACAGGATAGGCAGAATCAGTAAAAGCGACCCGGGGTCGATCAGATCTAAAACCCCTAAAAGTTATAGCTTCAAATTTTTCTTGTAACACACCCAGACGCGGTTTTGGGTGCGCTTGCGCCATGGAAAGCGACTATAGTAGCGCCCCGTCGGTTTGTTAGCCAACGGGCGCCGGGTTGCCTTTCTGGAGCCCTCTTATAGTTATTATTTGAGATTTTAAGATGGCTTTAAGATAACCTTATATTATAGGAGCTAACGCAGCGACTACCGTGTCCGGATGCGCCGATGTGCTGGCCACCTGTGCCACAAATAAGGGACTCTGCAAAAACGCAAACTACAGCCTGATCATGGTCTGTTTTTTAATATGTATTTTTCCACACCAGACCCCAAAAAGTTTTTATTTTTGTAAAAAACATAGGAATTTAAGCCCATCAAGTGCAAGAAGACGTGCGGACTTTGCTGAATCAGCCGGATCGGTGCCGACAAAACCGAAATTGTGAACGACCCGCTTAACAATTGTAATAATTAATAAATGCTGCTAATAAGTGTCAATAAATGCTACAGCGTAGGGCAATGAGGTATCAGACATCGCGTTCAGTGCAAAATAAATAAACGAAAAATCAGCCTTCCGAAAGCCTGCATCGCTTCGCCAGAGTCTAGTGAGGTATACTGCCCGTGTTCTGCTGTTCAAACATTTCCAGTTGACTGCCATGTTCGGACATCGATTCGATTTTTTTTATAAAGCAGCAATGTCAGGACGACGATTGTCTATTAACTTCTAATAGCTTGACCAGGCACAGCAAGGGAAGCGTTCCAAAATTTTGAAATTCTTAGAAAGTTTTTGTCTGTTTCCTTTTTAATAGCTAGGCGTTCCGTAGAATTTTTCGGAAGTTCGGAAGCGGAGTAAACTTCCAGCAACTTTACTTCGTTTTGAACTCGCTTCGCGATGGAAGGTGATGGTACTTGGCTGGAGATGACGTCTAACTGACATTCATGCGGAAAGAGGCGCCTTTTGGTGGCTGAACAAATTTGGACTTTCGGTTTCTGGCTAGAAATCGCTTTAGGGGCGGTATTTTCGGTTGTTCAGCCCGCGTCGCTGTGGAGCCAATAAGGGATGGATGTATCAGAGCCAGATCCAAGTTAGCGCTTTTGCTCAATGTATCCCATCGACCACGCATGAAGCCAAGCCTGATGAGTTATCCTATTCCAACTATTCCGGTCTCGTCTAGAAACTTTGCTTTTACGTCGGAGGGGGCTGTTGCCTGTACATAAAAAAAGACCGAAAAGCCCAACCCAGGTGCAATTCGTTGTAGTCGGAATTTTGTAAGAATAGAATAGCCAGTTCTTAGAAAATTCCTCTTAGAACCGGACCAAGCATTTAGCAAATTAGGAACCAAGCTTTACCGAGAATTTCCAGGTATTTCCGGTTATTGGCAAGACTTTTTTGCCTATCGGGGTTAGTGGGCGGAGCCCTAACCCTCTTGAGTTGAGTACCCCCCCACGCGGCTCTTTTGGGTCCTTTACCCGATTTTAGCGGAAACCGTGCATCGGATCGTAAAACTAGATATACCACCGGAACCGGCCGGATTTTTTGCATAAGATCAGTTTTTTAAATTTTGAAAAAAGTTAATTCTCGAATTTTAAGAGCGATTTTATTTTGTACTCAGAGGGGGGGGGTCTGCGTTTGTCAGGATGTTGGTATGTCCGCAAAACCTTTGTAGTCGTCGAAAAGTGCCTTCCCATGGACGGTTTTGGCTGAAAATTTGCACAGGTATTGGCTTAATGCTAATCTCGATGAGGAAGAAGCGTTTTTTTCAAAATAAGCCTTCAAAAAATTTTTATTGAACTTTGAAGTTCAAAATTTAAATTTCGGCCAAAAGGTGTCTTATCAAGGTCCGCTTGGGCTGAAATTTCTCATAGTGATGCACTGTACATTGTTTTAATATTAACTGAAGAGATTATCGTAAAATAAACGTTCTACGTTGAGATACGGCCGGATTACGTGAAAATCTGAGGTTGCAATACGGGGCGCGCGCCCTTTCTGTCTGGGCCTCTCCTTGCCCTCCCCACTAATAGACCCCTATCACGTCTCCCCTCTCCCCCGTGCCAATGAAAGGCCCCACTTGTTACACTATTTTTTATCAAACTTATTTGGTTTGGATGGGACGATTTTATTAGCACCGAGGATCTATCTTTTCGATAATCCACTCCTCTGCTTCCCCCAATTGGGCATCCCCCTTGCGACATGTATTCTTGCGAAACTTCAGTTTAGTTGAAGATTCGATTCGAAAAGATTTTTACTCAGAATCAGCGTCACAGGCAAAAATTACCGAAGAATACATTTAGCCAGAAATTGTATTAAACCCTTTATTGAAAGGTGCAGGAGGCTAAAAGGGGACAATTAATAAAAATCATAAGGGGCCTGGCAAAGCTGTACGCTAATTATTGGCGCAGCCCTCTATATTATTCTTATGATTCAATCCATCATTTCCTATGACAAAGTTTCGAATCAACTACTACTCCCCGAGTGGAAAGAGATTCGGCCTACAAAAAGGATGCGTTAGCACTATATTTCAGACTTCCGATCTGTCATATGTAGCCGATAAGTATTAAATAACAAGTGTTATTACATTGCTTGTTCGATTCTAGATAGCTTTCAGAGTCTTTTAGTCTTTTGCATAAAGATTAGTCGAGGTGGGGTGCGGCTGGCTGTCGGTCATTAGTGCGCCCCAGAGTCGGGCTCGTGAGAGGTCAGGCTGATAATGATAACGGCATCTGCCTTACGCGGGAATAATAAAAAGTATCCCCGTTCCTGGGGTCAATTAAAAAGCTGTTCTGCACGAAAGTGTATTATTGTAAGAACAGAGTTCAGTCAAAAAGGGCAAAATTCTCTTTAGCTAAAAAGAGATTCTTTAAAAAAAAGGGTTTTTGGGTTCGAAAAAAGAGCGAGATTCTCGGATGCAGCAAAAAGCGTCAAATTCCCTAACCTCCGAAAAATGAGAAAATGAGAAGGATCAACCAAAAATTGCTGGCATCTAGGAAATCTGCCTACATTTTTGCAGTTGAATTTTTTCTTTACGGCGTTTGAAACTGCGCTTTGCGCCTGTACTCAGCAATTTTTGGTTGATCCTTCGAATTTTCTCATTTTTCGGAGGTTAGGGAATTTGACGCTTTTTGCTGCATCCGAGAATCTCGCTCTTTCGAAACCCTATAAAGATCTGATGCTCTACGTATGCGCTACCGTATTTGATGAGACGGTACCCTTTGTCGTAGGTTCCGTTAAATCTTCTTCCCGAATTTTCGCCCAGAAGCATCAGTTAGATTTTCAGCTCCTCATTTTCGTCCTAGCCCTACTTGGTCTACGTCGGTGGCTGAGGCAAGGTCAGGGCCTGTTGCCCGTTCAGGATCCAGATACATGAATTTAGTTGTAAGACGTTTCGAGCCATCGAATGACTATTTTTCGAGTTCTAGGATTTATCAGCTTGTCATTGCCTGTTGCTGTTGCCGCTTTTCACGATTCGAATAGTCCAGGTTGAAGACGGAATGTTGTAGTAACTATTTTCCGAGTTTGCCAGTTTCAGCTTTGCCCACTTTCGCCGACAGATTGCCTAGCTGCACATCAACTTTTTCTGTGTCGATGGTATGGTTAATCGTACGTATCTAAAATTCATAGATATTTTAATCTTTAGAATTAGCTTTGGATTTCTTGCTTTTCTTCGCGGTAAATAAAGATGCGAAAGACTACAATGTTTTGATAAAAACAGGCTTGTAAATTTGTAGGCATATGACAACTGATTTGATTGGCCATGAAATTTGTTGAAATCTGGCCACATCCGCGATACGCAACGCCCGGTGCATGTCGCGCTGCGTGTCGCGGCTGACAAGGGAACCTCAAGTTGGCACGGTGGAGTTTCGAAAAACGCTCGCGGCTACCCCTAGGTTTTCGGCTATGGCGATTCCAACCCTCTAGTCAGAATTTCCTTAATGGGCCTCTGGACAGAGATACAGCACTTCCGGAAAATGATGATCTACATCCGAAAAATTAGCATTAACGATAGGTTTATGAGGCGCTCCCGTCACTATGGAATCACCAGTTGAATGGCCGAGTGGTAAGCGATTCGCTTGATAGAATACTTACGAGGGTTCGAATCCGCTCACGATTTTTTTATTTTGCTTTTTGACCAGAACTTTCTGCCCAACTCCAAGTTTTGATTTTTACTATAGGAAATTTTTTTGTTTATGTCCCCAGGCTGATTACTCCCAAGAAGCCTCAAAACTCGTTCTCGAAATTCAAAAATGGGGGTCTACCCATATTCCGTTTTTTTTACAGAGGGGCCTCTATGATTTACTTGGATGAGATTTTTTGCATTTGTTTCGAAAAAAGTAACCAAGACTTGGAGTTGGGCAGAAAGTTCTGGTCAAAAAGCAAAATAAAAAAATCGTGAGCGGATTCGAACCCTCGTTAGATCCTATCAAGCGAGTCCCCTACCACTCGGCCATTCAACTGGTGATTCCATAGTGATGGGAGCGCCTCCTCAACCTATCGTTAATGCTGATTTTCGGATGCAATCGTCATTTCCGGAAGTGCTGTATCTGTCCAGAGGCAATTAAGGAAATTCTGACTAGAGGATTGAGATCAGCCAGAAGACAGGGTTTGCGACTCTTCGAAACTCCACCGTAACTGAGTTCCCTTATGACTTGAGGCTGCTCACACAGCCGATTTTCTCTGGCAGCAAGCCCGAACAGCGACCGACCGACCTTCGTACAGCCCGAACTGCATAGATGGTACAACTTTTGTGTTGTTTTCTCTGTATTTGTATGTCTATGCTTGTGTGCATACATTTTTTACTATGCTACTACTTTCAATAACATATTTTTAACTGGGTCGTATGAATGAACAGCTCGTTTTGTCGATTAACAGTGCTCAATTAGATTTTTTCCGGACACAGACACAGACAGACCATTATCTATAAGGCGTATCGATCTTCATGTCGTCTATGCCCAGCGGTGCGGACACAAAATATCACAAACGAATTTTAAAGTAGTTTCTGAAATTCTGGAACCTGGATCGTGGAAAAGGCTCGCAAGTTGATAAGAAAATGGGTTAGATAGTGAAAGTTTCGCTTGGACGACTTGTCAATCTCTGGACAATCCAAAGCCATGATGCTTGAATTTGCTGATGCAAGGCTTGCACCTGATAGATTTTAATTCATTATCAACGTTTCTATGCAGAAATTTATTGAAGCCCAAGCACAATTGCACAAAAGGTCAGGCAAGTACAAGCACTCCAATAAACAGCGTGAGTATGTATCTTTGGAGGCTGAAGTGCTGAAGGGTGCCCTTTAGCCATTCAACGGTGGGGTCGTGGTGGTGGTAGCGGCTCCAGTAGTCGTGGTGGCACCTGTGGTCGTTGTGGCACCATCGGTGGTTGTGGTTGTGCCGGCCGCTGTGGTCGTTGTC